AGTATTCTCCAAGGGGGGAAGAGGAAAACTGCATTCACTCAGCCATTTAGAAGCAGAGATGTGACTTTACTGTAGAGAATACCCTGTACTTTCCAAGCTGGAAGATGCACTATAATTTAGTATCTCTGTTTTAACTCTAACTGCACAACTGTCTACTACAATTAACAAGAACATCAACTATTGCTAGAACTAACAAAAAAACCCCAAACAAAAGCAGATGATTTACCATTCCTTTAAAAAAAAAAAAAAAAAAAAAGTTATGACAACTATTTTTAAAGAGCAATTTTGCTTATTGAACCCAACTTTTACAGAAGTGGTCGGGCACACTTTCATGTACAGTACTCACCCCTTGTCACACCTGTAATGTGCATGGAATATTTAGAGAGAATCACAATAAACATGGTCCCCCAGGAAGGCTGTGCCTGGTGGCTCCTCCTGCTAACACCGAAATAACTGTTGGCTGAAGGCACTAAGGCTTGTCCGGCCAGTCCTGACAACCAGACCTGCCCAGCATGAACTCAAAGCAAGAACAGGGACACCATACCCTGCCTGGTTTCCCCATGTCACCAGTCATGGGATTTGCCAGCCCCTGCCAGGACTTCCTCTTTCCTCTGCTCTCCAAAGCTCCTGTGTGTACCTCTGTGCACCTCTGCCTGAACCCATGTGTCTGTCTGCCTTGGGAACAAAGATTTCAGCGTCCAACAAGAAGGGCAGGAAGCTCAGTTATCTATGACATACTGGAATATGTTGATAAGACAAAAAAGCCAATGTTTTCTCAATAATTCTTCTCGTGGCAATAACAGCACCACCATTTTGTGCACAAAAATGCTTTTGAAATTAAGTTGTTGAAAATTGACTTTACCTTTTATCACTTCCCTTTTCCTCCACCACACTTCTACAGCTTATAACATACTGGTCAAACTAGCTGAGCCTCTCCTATTTGGCAAGATCCTATTAGCAGGTCTTTTAATCAGAAAATAAAATTTGAAAAGAAACACGTAATTACTTTAGCACTAAGTGATACAAAGTACTGCCATATCCTAAGAGGACAAGTTCTCTGGTGCAGACATTAAATGCTCGGACCATTAAGAAAATTAATATTTTGCAGACATGAGGAACTCTGACTCACTGGTTTTGGACTCCTCATAGCAAGAAGTTTTTCTCCTGTGAAAGAAAGACACCTACAGAAGCACAATTAACTGAAGTTGAGCAGAGTAGACCACAGAAGTTTTTGCTTGATACAACATAGAAAACTGTCATTCCAAAAAGCAAGGGCTATCTATCAAGTAGGTAGCAGAACAAGCAAGCTCAGATAGATACATCAGTCAATTTTTCTGTTTAACTACTCAGGTATTTATTTTGATGTTTCTCATTTTTCCAAAAGTTCCAACATAGGTATGACCACCTTTTTAAACTAAATGAGTGTTAGAAGTGTGACCTACTAGTCATACTAAGCTTCACTTTCCCCGTAGGTTCAACTTAAAGTGATACCACCATCCCCCATGTAGGTTTATATGCTATATATGTTATACATTTTCTGTTGTTTCTGAAATCCTGAATGTAACTGCCCTTCCTGGGCCCTGGGCTTCTTTTGGACGTGAGAATAAATTCCTCTTTATGGTAAAACAGTCATCAGGAGCTGCATTATTCTTAATATACAGCCTCTAGAACAAAGAAAACTGTAAGAAGTCCAGGGTGGTCAAATCTGTTTTTTACACAGACCTAAAATCTTCTCAATTTCCGTGACATTAACAGCAGCTTTTCAAAACCACATGTTCTGCACTGGAGGACAAATGAAGTACATCACCTCCTCCACATTCCTCCTCTCAAAACAAGTAAATGTCACATTTTCTGGATTTTGAGATAAAAGTACGAAGTTTTTAAAGTTGTCCCATCTCACTCTCAAGTCCCTTCCCAAATATAATTGTAAGTTTATTAGCCAAACACCAGGACTTTTTTTTTTTTTTGCTTTAATTTTCTGACCACACGTGAAGGTACATTTTCTTCTCATCAGTTCTGTCTAGTCAAAGAAGCTCACGTAGCGATGACGCATCTCTTGCAGATAAGGGTATCCACTTATTTGATTTACTAAGAAGGCTAAATTTATTATGCAATATTTTACAAGTATAATTCTGCTCTCCCTTGATGGTAATAAATTCGATATCAGCTCCCCTGAGACAAAAGAACCAGTCCCTTTATTATCCAGACATGACCCCCAGAGCCAGATTCCATTTTAGAGACGGGAAATGGCCATATCTCTGATTAAAAGGGAAACTTTAATCAAATAAAGTGCCTCATCAAGCAAGAGCCAAGATTCCAATACTTCTGACTGCAGCACAGCAATGATCCAAAGTCATATCTGCCCCCAACCCATTACCGCTTACTGCAAACGTGATATCCATCCCAAACAGCAGATGCATCCTTCAGCCATTTCCTTATCATCCTGGGAGCGGCTCCTCCTGTCCCCATAGTCCCTCGCATAAACATGTTCTCAGGCTGCTCCCCCAAGGTCTGCTTGAGAAACCAGAGGAGGGTGGGCTTTGTGGTGTTTGGGAGGTTTTTTCCCAACTGAATCAATCTCGCAGTGACAAGGAGCATGAACCATGCAGGCAAATGTAGCAGCCATGGCCTTTAGCTCAGCACCCTTCCAGAAACATCTTCTGTTCTCTCAGACACTTTCCTCCTACACTCTAAAATGATCTTTTGAAGCATTTAGGATACTAGCTTGTTCAGAGTCCCAAATTAAGAGCTGTGCTCCTGTTGTCAGTGGTGTATTTCTGCAGTTTAACAGCGGGGCAGTAAACGACTAACAAATAGTGATAACAATCACAATACGGATGTCTAGGTGTATTGTCATTTTAATTGTGCTTTAAGACTCCACTTCTGGTAAACACAATCCGATCTGTATGCCACTCCATGCAGACTTCCGTCTGAAAGTCTTTCTGGCCATCTAGTCGGTTTTCTTGCAACAGACAGCAACTGACAGATAAATCATCTCCTCAGCCACGGAAGTCCAGCTACGCAAGCAAATGAAGGGGCTCAAACTTCACATCTATTCAGGAACCACTCGGCTGAGAGATCCAGTTATTTCATATGGCTTTCTGAAAAAATCGTCTTTGGATCAGCAGTCACTTCTGCTACAGGAGTAATGATATTTACTGTTTGGTTTTATGCCAGGAGTATTTTCCTAATACGAAAGCAACTGCACCAAGTGAGGCTCCTTGCTCGCAGGGCTGCAGCCAGCTGCAGTAGTGGCCCGGCAAAATGAGGGAAGTATGTGACACCACTGCGATTTGAAGATTATTTCCCTGTCATTTGAGTGCTACACACACACATGTACGCACGCAGGAAGACAGTTACTGTGTTGCTCTCTGCTTTCCGATGCGGCTTCAGTGGCCGCCGAGCTGGTAGCGCTGTCCCCGAAAAGGGCACATTCCCCCTAGAAAGGGACAGGGCTCGGCTCAGCACTGTCTAGCCCCGTTCACAGTTAGCCCGAGCTCGCTCGGGTGCCCCCACGCCTTGCCCTGTCCCGGTCACACCGCCGATGGGGCGTCCCGGACGACGGAGCTGCCCCGGGTGTTGGCGGCCTGCCCTGGTGAGCGGCTCTGGGGTG